GGGCGGGCGGCGGCGGGCCGAGGGGGCGCGGGGACACGGCCGGGCGCCCCTGCCCGCCGCGGAGCCCGCCGCCTGAAGGCTGCCCGGGGCGCGGAGCCGGCGCCGGCGCGGCGCGGGCGCAGGAGGCATTCCAGGCGCGATGTCGGTGCCGCTGCTCAAGATCGGGGTTGTGCTCAGCACCATGGCCATGATCACCAACTGGATGTCCCAGACGCTGCCCTCGCTGGTGGGCCTCAACACCACCAAGCTCTCGGCGGCCAGCGGCGGGACGCTCGACCGCAGCACCGGCGTAAGTGCGCCCGCCGCCCGCCCTGGCGGGGCCTCCTCGCCCGCTCCCTCCCGGTCCCCAGCCCCGGGCGGGAGGGCGCCGTGCGGGGTGGCCGGGCGCAGGGGCAAGGGCACGCGCGGGGGCCACCCTGCTCCCCACACCCCAGCCTCGGCCACTCCTCCGCCCGCGGTCCCCTCTGTGTGGCGCTTGCTGTCTCTGCCCGGTCCCCTCGCGGGGCCGGGGAGCCTGCCCAGGGACTCAGAGGCTTGGAGTCCTCGTTCAACTAATAAGTCCCTTGTTGATAAGGTTAGGGAACTGAAGCAGGGGTCTTGGGGACTTGTCCAAGGTCACTCAGCAAGTAAGGGGTGGAGACGCGGTGGACCCCAGTCTGGCTGGGTCCAGCCGGGGCTGGGAACTGAGCCCGCCCCACTTTGCAAAAGCCGGACTGGACCGGCCGGAGTGGGGCGCGGGCGGGCGGGCTCCGGAGCTCTTGCCCTCAAAGTCCCAAGGCGTCTTTCTCTCCCCATCCCCATGCGGAGATCCATAAGGTCCCCGCCGGCGGAGGGTGTAGAGGGGCCGGGCGGGGCCCGGGGAGCCACAGCTGCGGGGCTCGCCCCTTGCCTTCCGCGCGATGCCTTGGGGGAGGGGGTGAGCGGCCAGGGCCGCCTCTGGACTGGACTGACTTAGGTGGTGGCGGGAGCGGAGGCTGAGCCGGAACCACCGGGGAACGGCCGCTGGCGGGGCCGGCGGAGGAAGGGGCGCGCCTCAGGCTCGCTCCCTCTAAGCCGAAAGGAGAGGTGAAGGACACGCGGCTCCCTCTCGCGCTCCCTCTGGGCTGTCAAGGGCGCAGTGCTCGGGGAGGAGGTCTCCTGGTGACCCCTTCTGAGATGGTCATCCGTTCACCTCACCTGCTCTTTCGAGAACTGCAGGCAGCATTTTCTTCCTGATGACTTTGTTCCTACCTCTGGGTCCTGAGCTCCTGGGGTTGGAAATGAATCAAATGAAATGTATCTACTGTGGATTCCCTCCACCCAACTTCTCCCCATACCAACGCTAAAAATAGCAGGGAGGTGACTACCTGAGGCCACCGGGCAGGCTGCAGGGTCTGTACCCGGGGTGTTTTCGGACAGTGGTGTCTGTCTGCCCCGTGTACATGGGCGGGACCACCTGAGCTGGGTTGCAAGGTGACACCAGCCATGTCACCATGTCAGCAGCCATGTGCAGCTCTGGTTTCGTGACCGTCCTTGGGCACACCTCAGGTTTGAGGTTGGGTGTGACCCCTGCCCAACATGTCACCAGCAACTTGGTGACATCTGCCCAATGGCTAGTGGGTGGCAGCCTGTGCAGAGTTGAAGTCCAGCATCTCTGCGGGCAGCCTTGACCAGACCGCCAGCGGGAACACTGCTGGGGCTCGGGGTCATCGCAGCTCTGGGCTAAGAGGCTGCTGGGTCCCGGCTAGTACCACTGGTTCTGCTTCTCCAGTACCAGGGAGCAGCAGAGAGAGGCTGCGCCAGCCTCCCGTGCTCACCTTACGGGAGGAGATCCTATTTCTCAGTTCCGTGCCGTTGTGAGTCAACCAGCATGCAGTCTCCGGTCCCCCCTCCCTTCCACCTTGCCTATCAGTTGGGTCAGATGCCAAAACTCCCAACATCCCCTAAATTTAAAAGTCCCTTGAATTAAAAAAAATGTTTTAAAGAGTCATGCCTGCTTGACTCCCTTCCAGCCCTGGGGATCCTGATGGGAGACCGTCTGTGTTCCTCCCTGTTTGTACCTCCCCACGGTCGGCACATGTCTTTGGACCACTTCTTTCTGCCCTTTCCCAGGGGCTGGACGTGGACGGTCATCCCGGTGCGCCGCTTTCTGGTCTCACCTTTCTCCCTCCCTCTCCCTCGCCCCACGTGCTCTCCAGGTGCTGCCCACCAACCCTGAGGAGAGCTGGCAGGTGTACAGCTCTGCCCAGGACAGTGAGGGCAGGTGCATCTGCACGGTGGTCGCCCCCCAGCAGACCATGTGTTCACGGGATGCCCGCACGAAACAGCTGAGGCAGCTACTGGAGAAGGTGAGTCTGTGCAGGGTGTGTGCGCGTGTGTGTGCATTTGTGTGCCCACGCTGGCAGCAAGGTCTGTCCCAGCTCCAAGACCTCACTCTTCCCTGGCATGGCCCACTGGGAATACTGGTGAATGAATGAAATGGATGGATGGATGGAGGGAGGGAGGGAGGGAGGGAGGGAGGGAGGAACGGAGACTCCCCCAGGGCTGCCCAGGAGGAGGCGAAAAGCTCCACTGGGAGTCACGTGGGCTTTAGCGAGGGAGCATTTGGGGCTCCTCTCCCACACCGCTGTCTCCGGGTCACGCCCACAGCCTGTGGTCCAGAGGGCTCAGAGCTGTTGCCCAGCAGAACCTGGGAGAGCTCCCTCGGAGCCCGGAAGCAGGGCCGCTGGGTGGCATCTTTGCCCCCTGCTGCTGAGTGGTTGGACCCGGCGACAGCCAGGCCAGGCGTTCACGCCCATGGCTGCCTTCCCGGTGCAAAAGCAGATTAAATCGTCACCTTTGTGACCCACCTGGGCACAGCACTTGCGGTTTGAATCTGTCATTTCACTTGATCTTCACAAGAGCCAGGTGAAGGTGGCGAGGTTTTCACCCCGTTTTAAGAAGTGGAAATCTGGGTCCAGGCAGGTGGGCTGACTCTCCCAAGGCAAACAGCCAGTGAGCAGAGAGCCGGGTTGGCTCTCAAACCCGGGGCCGGCCTCCCACCTGGCCCACGACCTCTGCCCCCCACGGAGGCTGGCACTCCCCATGGATCTTGCCAACCCGCTGCCTGGAACATTCCTCCTGGGAACCCTGGGGTCTCAGGTAACCTGAGCGCCAGTTGTCCTGGGAGCTACTGAGGGGAGAAGGAGAAACGGCGGCCCTAGTACTCCACTCACTGCCCTCCCCAGGGAGAGGGTGCGTTTCACATCAGGCGCCTTCACGCCCTGCGGGAGAGGGGTCACACCTCCCACGCCACACACACGTGCTCACGTACGCACATGCGACACACACATCACACACAGCACATATAACAGAACACACAGATACACACAGGCCACACACAAATACGTATGCACAGTCACCACACACACCTCACACGTACACACACCACACACAACACGTGTACATACACCACATATAACTGAACACACAGATACACACAGAGACCACACACACAAATACATATGCACAGTCACCACACACACCTCACACGTACACACACACCTTACACACCACACATGTTACACGTAAACACTCACACAGACACACAGACACCACACACAAATTTGCATGTGCATACACACACTCACACACACACACACACACACACACACACCCCCTCAGTAAAGCCGAGACTTCTCCATCAGCCAAGGAGCGCTGGGGGGCCTGTGCCGGGAGGAGAGCCACCGCCCCGGGGGGAGGCCCGGCAGCCAGCGGAGTCTGTCTAGTTCGGTTCAAGCCCGGCTCATGCACAGACCCTCACACGGGTTCTGGCAAAGCAGGTCCCTTTTTGAAGTCGGTGGGGAGAGAGGGGTGTCCCTGAGGCTGTCGCGACCCTGCTGTGTGGACGGGGCCCGGGCAGGAGGAGGGCTTGGGGCAGCTGCCGCCTGGCTCCCCTCTGAGGACCTGTGCGTTTTTGTGCTGCTGTCTTTGATCACCCCAGTAAATCACTTTAAAAGAATGAAAGAAAAATGTGTGTAACAGGTTCCACAAACATTCATTGACACCAGACTAGACCGAAGCCTGATTGGGCCTTTAATTATTCATTATTGCAGAGGAGGGGGTGGAGCTCGGAGGGGCCTCGGGCGGCTGGGGGGGGGGCCCTCAAGCCCTCGGGAGGCCGTGGTAAGTTCCAGAAAGCTCTGTGAGCCCCTGGGAACACAGGCCTCGGAGGCCTCCTTCCTGCCTGTGCACAGCACAGCGTTACTGCTTAGACATTTAAAGCCCGCTTCTACACTCGTGGGCACTGTGGGTACTGTGTTGCCGCCGCTTCTCGGGGCAGAAGCCGTTTGTTGTATAGAGGGCCTGGCTGCTGTGTGAGAAGGGCAGGGCTGTGCGTCCCTCACTCCTTCCCCAGCCTCCTTCTCCTCTTTCCTTCTCGGTGGGCACCATCCGAGCATCTGTTCTGTCCGTGGGCCTGTGGTCCCAGCTGTGCCTGTGTCTCCAGCCTGACATCCTGTTCCAACCCACCTGAGGAGCTTCCAAAGGTGGAGCCTTCGGTCCCAAGCCCAGAGGTGCTGCTTTGAACTGGCCTGCGGTCTTGAGAGGAACCTAGCACCAGTGTCTCGTGAAAGCCAGGCCCTCACCCCGCGTTAGGGCTGAGGACCCATGGCAAAGGGCGGGCAGGGGCCTCAGGCTCTGTTCTCTTTGAAGAAGCTCATGGCCCAGAGCTTCAAAGTGTGGGCTCTGGAGTCGGTCCGGGCTTTGCATGGTGGCTGGCTGCTGTGTGACAGTAGCCAAGGCACTTAACTTCTCTGAGCCTTTGGTCTCCTTCTGTGTCAAATGAGACTTGAAATAGCGCCCACCTCCCAGAGTTTTGTAAGGGTCGGATGAGATCCATAACGCAGTGGGCTCAGCAGTGCCTGGAACGTAGAAAACGTCCCATAAGTATTAGCGATGAGTGGTCGCCTCCAGGCCAGCTGTGTCTGCTGCGTGGGCAGGTTGCTGCCGCCCCTCCCCCCTCGGCACCTGCAGCCACCTTGGGCGGGGTGGGGGATTGTGCCTTTGGTAGCTGTGTGACCTTGAACTCCTCAGTTGGCTCCTCGGGGACACATCCTACAGGTGAGAGAATGGACGCGCCCAGAGGCGGGGCCTCTAGACCGGGAGCTCAGAGAAGATGCAGGAGTGTGATGGCCGCCGGGGGCTTGATTACCTGCCTTCTGGTCAGCCGGAGAGGGAGGTGCTCATCCCGCCGGGGAAGGACTATAGGAGGGGCGTATTAAAGCGACTGAGTGACTTAGCATCTTGAAAATATGTTTTCTAAATTTCAAATTTAATTTAAAAACTTTTAAATGTGTTAAAAGCATCCTTCTCTGGCAGCTGAACAGCCCAGAGGGCTGTGTGTGGCCCCAGCAGAACCAGGCTGAAGCCCGCGAGGGTCCCGCAGCATCTGCTCGGCAGGTTTTAGCGGCAGCCTTGTGGGTTTTGCTGTCCATCAAGAATCCCCCTAGGAGGAGGAGGAGGAGGAGGAGGAGGAGGGGTCTTGACTGGAGCTGTCATTTTTGTTCCTTCCTCCCGCCCTACGGCTGTGCATTAGGTGCTGGGCCTTGCGCTTGCAATGAGGCCTGTCCACTTCCCCCCGTTGTCCAGCAAGGCAGTTGAGACAGGGGTGTGGGTCACTGCCGTGCAGGCATGGTGCCAACAAGGTGATGGTGTTTCCAAGTGGTGTGCGGCCACTTCTGGCTTGGCTCATCAGGGAAGCCTCCCTGGAGGAGGTGGCATTTGGGCTGGGCCTGGAAGGATAAAGGGAAATACAGCTTTTCTCAAAAGAAGTCAGTTATTCAAAGTGACAGAACAAACTGTTGAGGGGGACAGGAAGACCTGAGGTAACAGAGCAAGTATATTTCAGTTTCCCCTAAAACATCAAAACAGAAAGGATCAGAGCAAGTCAGAGTCACCCACATACTGTATTTTACAAACCTGAATTTTTAAACTGAATACGTGTGCATTCCTTTCAAATAACAAGCCAGAGAATCCCAGGCATTTTTAAGCGCTGAGCTGAGTGGTATCAGTTTTTCCTCCTTTGGGTTTCTCTTTCTCATTTATTTTATTTGCGGGGGGGGTGAAGGACATACCTTAAGAAGTGCAAACCACACTATCATCTCTTCTTTTACTGACCAGGCAAAGCTAAGCCTCATACCCAAATGATTTAGTTCCAAAAAAGGGAGGGTATTTGCAAATTCAGCAAAAAAGAAAACAGAAATGAAGATTTGCGGTTATGGAGGTATCTTCCCACTGGTAATTGGATTCGATTCTGAGAAAATGACCCAAACATCACTTTGGCCACCCTGAGCCTTTTCCACCTCCCTGCTACCCCAAATGCATTGGCACAGAAGCGCAAGCCAGTTTCCTGAAAATAAAATGCACTGGCAGGTGGCTGCACTAAAATTGTTTTTCTTTGAAGCTCTCTGGAACCCTGTTGAATATTAAAGTTTCATCTTGAGGCTAGACTCAATTCAGATCTGCCTGTAAAGGTGCAGAACAGAGATTCTTCATTTGCTGGGGGATTGATTCCTGAATCTCTGTTCTGAATGTACGTGTCTTCAGAACAGTCACCTACCTATGATACTGTGGGATGTGATGGATGGCGTGCAAGATGCAGAATCTGGGAGCCCAGTCCCCTGCTTCCCGAGCACTGCGCTTATGCAATCAGCCCTCTCAGCGAGACACCCAGTGAGATTTAGGGGGAAAGAGGTCTGTGCCTGGAGGTGGGGGAAGCCCAGCTATGCTGTTCATCTTTGTTGGTGTTTATGCCTGCCTGACTGATTTCATCCTGCAGAATAAAGAGACTAGAAACAATCCCCTGCCCACGCACCCCAAAAAAAGAAGAAAAAAATCACCCAAAGCCATATGCCTGGAGCTATGACCAACAGGGAACCAGAGATCCCTGCACCCCTGTTTGTAAGAACACGTCCTGGAAGATGGCAGAAGAAATGTTGACTGAACCAATTTGCTCTGTTTGGGGGGTTCTTGGTCATAACAATCCCTGCTGCTGGTGATTAACTAGTAAGTCACGCACGAGCCGCTTCTGGCTCCCAGTGGGCTGGCCATGTGGAAAAGGTCATTGTCGTTCGTTAGGAGGCAAATGAGGTCTGCAGGCACCTGCCGCAGCTCCGTCCTTGAATCTGTTGCCTTTTTGACAGGTGCAAAACATGTCTCAATCCATAGAGGTCCTGGACAGGCGGACTCAGAGGGACTTGCAGTACGTGGAGAAGATGGAGAGCCAAATGAAAGGACTGGAGTCCAAGTTCAAACAGGTGGAGGAGAGTCATAAGCAACACCTGGCCAGGCAGTTCAAGGTATGTGTGCTGCCTCCTCTCCTCCTCCCCTCCCCCTCCTCCTCCTCCCCCTCCCCCTCCCCTCCCCTCCC